GGGAGTTCTTGGTGCACTCAATTGGGATAATATCCCATTATCTAATAAGTACACCTTAAATGCTTGGAATAGATAATCACCACTTCGATCAGATCAAAGGGCCTTGATACTCTTACCCAATTGTTTCTCAAACTTCGTTTGAAACTCCTTGAATTTCTCCAGCTTAGAATTTGTGAGACATAAGATATATGAATAGAGCAGTCATCTGTGAAGGTGATGAATTAGTCATATCTTCCCCTAGCCCGAGTACTAATGGGTCCACAAACATCAGAATGTACTAATTCCAAAACTTTGTTCGCTCTTAGTCCCTTAGTCTTAAAGGATCTCTTAGCCATCTTTCCTTCCATACAAGATTCACAAGTTGGTATGGATTCCACCTCTAACTCATTTAAAGGACCATAAAACCAATAATTGAATCCCATTTAGATTGATATGACCTAATTTGAGATGCCATAAGAGAGCTTCATTAGTACTAGACGACGTCTTTCTCTTCTTAGCAGTAGTAGTGTTATGTATAGAGCTAATCATAGGACTTAAGACATAAGACTATTAATCATATGATTCGAATATATAATAGAATTATTCAACTTAATAACCACGGTGGAACAGGTAAAAAGTATCGAATAACCAACACGATATAAAAGTGTAATGAAAACCAAGTTCTGTGTAAGTTCGGGAGCATAATAACAATCATTCAAGATCAAATGTCTACGATTTTCAAAAGCACCAACATCTTTGGCAAACACTATGCTCCTATGCCAACTCTAAGAGTGTACTCCCTTCATTGAAATGCTTGGTTTCCTGGAACCTCTGCAAAGAATTGCGAACATGATTAGTGGCTTCGGAATCTATGATCCACGTATTAGGAAAATCAATCACTAAGCATGACTCAATGAATAGGGCATTGCCTTTACCTTGCTTCCCCTTAGCTAAGTGATTTGGGTAATTCCTCTTCCAATGACCCTTCTGTCCACAAGTAAAACACTGTCCCTTTGGTTTCCCATCGACATTTTGACTTGCTATCTGGCTTTTTACTTGGCCTCTTCCTCTTCTTTCCTCCATTGCCTCCAGAAGGCTTAGGATAAGAAGGTCCAGCTGTAATAGTTAAAGCACTACTACTTCTGGCCTTCAGGATAGTTTCAATATTTTGGAGTTCTTTCATTAATTCCTTCAAAGACATGTCCATCGTGTAGATTATAATCAACTATAAACTGTAAGAACATCTCAAGAAGAGTCTCAAGGAATCTACATCTCGGAGTTAATGTCAGCTCCTAAAACCTTCGCAGCATTGAAGTAATCAATCAAGGTTAACATATGGTCCCTCACAAATGTGCCCCATTTTATGCGTGTGTTCCTAATTGCCCTAATGGAGGCTTACCTAACTTATCGACTTTGATGTCCAAACATCTCTTGAAAACTTTTCATTATGTCAAAAGCAATTTCCATATTCTTATGTTTCCTTTGTAATACATTTGACATGGATGCCAAAATATAGCAACTGGCTATCTCATTAGAATGACTCTACTTTTCATATGCGGGCCTTTGAGATTTCGGGGAGTCACGTTTAGGGGTTTGGGGACAATCTTCAATCAGTACAAATTTGTGTTTTTCTGTAGTAAGAGAACAAAATTAAGATTCATTTTCCAGTCAACGTAGTTTTCTCCCACAAGTTGATTTTCGTTAAGTGTCACTGATAATGGATTAAGCGACATTGTTCTGTAAATTAACGATTCATATATTAATAAAATGAGCAATAATCTTTGTATGATACATGTATATGAGTATGCAAATATAGACCTAAAACTATAGTTTTAATCAAAGACCTTAAACCCTTACAACTTTTAACACACCCTCTATAGGAAGTCAATGTAATTGGCAAGGTTGGGACCCTCCCACTCATTTTATGGAGTTAGGCATCTCATGCCACAAAAAATGAGGATTGATTATTATTTGGCCTATAAATAATTTTGTTGAAATCTTCTATAAAAAACCCCCCCCCCCCCCAATTCATATATAAGTATAATAACCTCCATCAATAATTTAAAATATCCGAAATATATAAGATGTCATCTATAGGATGATCATCCCATTATTTCATTTTTTTTAAAAATATATATATATTATTAGATCAAATCTCAGTTAATCTAAAATAATGTACTCTTCTTATAGGGAGACTGATGTAATTCGATACTAAACGTATATATTTTAATAACAAATTGGATGACGGAGGAGGCCGTAGGTTTATACATGCCTATAAACGCTCTCCCAGTTATTATTTTCAACCGTTTGGTTTTTAATTAATAATTAATCCCCGATATAAACAATTATAATGGCACTAAATTATTAAATAAAATATTTTTCAACCACCTCTAATTAATTTAGAGTGATAAAAAAAAATATTTAATGCAAATATATATGATTTTAGTGCACCAAGTGGTATTTCATTTAATCTAGATGACATGCGATAATAATTAAACATTCGTTCATCATATTAAAAGCAATAATTAAATGAAATATAATCACTTATGGCCCATCCTAAGAATTTAAATTAGAATATGGATAAAAGTATTACATTAGGCCACATTTCAGGCCAATTCTTCAATCTCCTCTTAATTCATCCCGTGCAATTTCCAAAATTGGGTCAATTTAATTTTTAATCTTAATCCTTGAAAGGCTCTTATCCAACAAGACAAACTTAAGTTTCAAAGAAAAGCCCAAAACATCAAAATTGACCTAATTTCCAAAACCCTAGCAAGGAAACACACTTCTCTGGCGACAACGCCATCACTGATGACCCCAAAAGAGGCTGCCAGCATTGTTGTCGTTGTCGCCCACCACGGCAGCGGTGGCTGCTGCCTCACAGCAGGTACTACATTTGGCTGTGACAGCCAAGGTCACCCAGCTAAGGTGTTTACTTGGTTTTTTGCATTTTCTTGACCTCTTTCTCTTCCATTTCACCAGCAACAAAACTCATCTCTTTTCCTCAATACTTAAGTGAAAATGAAGAAAAAAAATACAAGAAACCTAGTGCCTTGTGGCCTACAATTTTTTTAGAGAAAAATAACAACAACAAATGAATTACAATGGAAAGCAAAATAAAATTCTAGGGCCAAAAGTGATTATATATATTAACAACAACTTCAAACGTCCACCGTCGCCCAGCACCTGTTTTCTTGGTTTTTTGCACTTTGTTGGCCTCTTTCTCTTTCAAGTTCACCGGCAACAAAACCCATCTCTTCTCCTCAATACATAAGTAAAAAAATGAAGAAAAAAATACAACAGAACCTAATATCTTATGGCTTACAATTTTTTTTTAGAAAAAAATAACAATAAATGAATTACAATGGAAAGCAAAATAAAATTCTAGGGCAAAAAGCCAAAAAGTGATTATATGTATTAACAACAACTTCAAACATATAAGCACTTGCCTAAGAAAGCCCCCAGGGCATATCTCCCAGTGACAAAGACGAGGGCGAATAGGGCTCAGTGCGGCAGTGTGCAGAGTTCGATTCCCCGCAAGGTGGAATTGGCTTTGTTGCAAACGGGAGTTACCATATGGGTTAACAGACTTGACCTATCCATGTACTCTCCACCCTGGCTCCTGGGAGGCACATCCTGCAATTTACCTCCTCTACGATGGCTCAGGACAGGATCGGTGGGGGCGACTAAGGTTGGGGTTCAACCTTTTTTTTGCACTTGTCTAAGAAAGCTGAGAATAAATTGTGACTATTGAAAATGTCAGGCGCCGGGGCCCGCACACGTGAATGCATACGGTACAATTATTTAATTTTTGGTGAATGAAAAATTTTGACCCCTTTGCATATGCTACTACTGTTGAGGCACAAAAAATAAAATTGGCAGCATTCCCAACATTGTGCAATGACTTTTCTTGTTGACCTGGGCCCACCCAATGCCACAAAACCAATCTACACACGTAAAACAGATTTGGAAAAGGAATTTTGCAAATCTTTTCTCATAAAGCGGCCCCATGCAATGTAAAAAACCAATCCAATTCACACGTCCAACAGATTTGGAAATTAATATTGCAAATACTATTCTCCTAAAGCGGGCCCACACAATGACGAAAAACCATTCCATTGCACACGTAAAACAAAAACGAAAATTAATTGAACACAACAATAATAATTTGCCATTTTTGTCAACATACAACAGTGATGCAGAAAACACGGCTAACCCATACTTCAACTCCATAGCAGAGGTACAACAATGTAGCGAGAATATAAACTGTTAAGCGCGTCCACCACATTAGCCAACCAATCACAAAGACGATCTCACTCGTGACGCTGTATTTTCGATGCGTTCACTTCAGCGGCGACCTGTTCGTGTGCATCCGGCAATTCTACCTCTGCCGCGTCGGGGTCTGTCTCAACTCACGTCTACATGCTAGTAGCTGCGTAGTCCGTAATTGTCTCAAAGTATGTGTGCAAATCTTCGAAGCATGGGTGAGTACATCCTAAATTCTGCATAGCACTGTTAAAGACTGCATTGCATCGCATTGAGCATGAACATGTGCCCGTTCTTTGCAAATGAAAATCGAGTAATCTAACGTCTCTATCGACGGTAGTAGTCTGCCACATCAATTTCCGCCATCCGACAATACCGAAACCACTGAACAATATCATCTTCAAGCAGTTGCATGAATTCCTCTTCCCCAATCTCCTCTTCATTATCAGAAAATGGCAGAAACACAGTTCTTTGCAAATGAAAATCGAGTAATCTAACGTCTCTATCGACGGTAGTAGTCTGCCACATCAATTTCCGCCATCCGACAATACCGAAACCACTGAACAATATCATCTTCAAGCAGTTGCATGAATTCCTCTTCCCCAATCTCCTCTTCATTATCAGAAAATGGCAGAAACACAGCTGAGATTCGATTGCGCCATTAACAACGTCCGTAACCATGTTTGGAATTTCCCTATGCATTTTTAAGCTCAAAAGAAAGCAAAGAATTTTGTCTCCCTCTCTCTCTCTCTCTATCACATGAGCGTACTCATTCGTTGTTGCAATGGTTGCTGTCAAGTTTCCCCCTTTTAAAGACTTACTTCAGTATGCAATAATGGCACTGTTGAAAATACTTGATAGTGCACTTTCAACAATTCTAAAGAGATTCTCCTAGCTACTGTGCTCTGTAACATAGATGGGGGTGTCAGAGATGCTCAATTATTCATGGCAATTGTTGACAAATTCCAAATAAGAAGCAACTTTGTGGAAATTGGAGAACTACGAAGGACAAATTATTCATGTCAATGTCTGTCGTTTGCACTTTTCCAATTTTCACGAAGTTGATATTTTAGTTCTCTTCCCCTTACTTTTACTACCGTCGAATCTACATTTCTTGCCACTCCTACGACCAGAGACATCCATGCTTGATGCAGGCCTATCGAACTTGTCGCCCTCATCATTGGAGTCGCTGCTCTCCTCGCACATTGGTGTTGCGTTGCGTGTGTCGTCGTTGGCACTGTCTTCAAACATGGCGAACCCAGTCCTACACAGCTTCTTCGACGTCGTCACATACTTCTCATTGTCGTATAAATCGCCGAACAGAACCCAGTAGGCATATATCTCTCCGCAGTCTGTCTTTGGACTCTCGGTATTCTTTGTTCTCTTGGTCGAAATGGAAGAAAAATAAATGTAGAACGAGTCAGGAGCCGGCATACGAAATAAAAGTTAGGAATCACGAATTGAATTTTATGACACAAGCGGGAATACAATTTTTTTAGTAGGAAGGTTATGCAATTAATTGGAAAGTGTCAATTCCAATAGCTTTGTACCTTAATTTTTCGCTTCCACCACTCGTCGGACACAACTAGACGGTCGCGTGCAGAGTCGTATGCGATGCTGGTGTAGTCTTTCAAGTCCTAGATATGTTTACACTTGACTCGAAGATAATCTCAATGATTCTTCAATTGCTGCCTACTCCAATCGTGCCCGGAGTTGGAGTTGAACAATTGGACAATCATGTGCCAGCCATGTTTCGTGAAGCACTTCCCGTTACGGTGCCCGTCGGCTATTACGGTCTCACAGGCAGCAATGAAGACTCGATTATCTTTCTCTCTGTCTCTCATTTTCATGGGTCACTAAGCAATACTTGTGCACAAAATAAATTAAAAGAGACACCAAGAAAGCTTGCAATCAAACAAATTTAATAATGCAAAGGCATAAGCAAAAGGGTAAAACCTACAGGCTACAATTGTACAAAATGGAAGTGTTCCAATACATCTTATTGCCATAACTCCTGGCTTCAGGAGTACACAGCACCAAGTTATTACAGAGAATATGAAATTCAAACTGGGCTTCTTTAAAAGAAGGCCGACAAATCTACATATTGTAATGCATATTCTATGGTGAACAAATGAAAATGACAACCAATAATTATTATAAGCTCAAATGCATTTAGGAAGATTTGTCATTGCTACAAAATCCACTTCACCCTTGAATGAGGAAAGCAGAAAGTTTTCAACCACAACATATTTTCTGAGAAGAATTTCTATACCACTCGCCCAAATCCTTGATGACGAAAACTTGGAAAAAAATGATTGTATTTTCCCTTTTCCAAATTCTATATTCCCAGATTTTTTAGTTGCCCAGAATTTTCCCCTGAAGCCGTCGCCAACCTTTGCTCTTTTATACATACTTTATGTTACTAAACATGTAATGACAAGTTATTATGAGTTAAATTCATACCATTTTCCAGCAACAGCGACGGGTAAAAAATGGGGATTCATGGCCGCATAAATGTAGAAAAATAAGGAAGAGATCTGACACTAACCGCAGTAGAAAATGGATCCATGGTGCTGTTGAACGAGTTGGGAGTTTCCGGTCAGATCCACGCCTTCGATGTCGGTGAAAGAGGAAGAGGTCGGTTAGCCTTGTCTGGGATTTACACCGGACTGTGGGAGAGTGTTGGGTTTGTGGAAGGGCAAAAGTGGAAGGCTAGCCAAAGAATTTTGCTATTGTACTGAGTTGTTGTCAGGGCTTTTACCAGTATTAAATTATTGTCTACTGTTTCAATGGTCCAATAAGTGCTGGATAGCTTCTCCAAACAAGCACTAACGCAATAAACAAGTCAATCAAAGAACATAACACCAACCATACTAAAAATGCAATTTATAATAGGATTTAAATAGCTTAATCCTAGTCAAGGCTCTCAATAACCTTGGTTCTAATACCATTTGTTGGTAATTTAATCATCAGAATAGAAATTTGATTTTCCTTTGAAGATTAAACTCATTCGAATAAGAATCTTAGATAACCTTGAAATCATTGGATATTTAAATCCCCACACATAAAAGGGAAGATGATAACCTTGAAGGAGCTTTTAATGGCCTAATCAAATATTCCCTCCCTTAGATCTTCTACCTTGTTCTCCTTTAGGCATATTCCTTCTTTTGGGAAATGAAAAATGGCTAATCCTAAAAGCATATGAAAATGTAACCTTGAGGGGCATATTTATAATACTCAACTAGGGTTTTTAAATTGCACAAATTTTCTTGAATTTTATTATAATAGACCAATTAAGTCACACACCTTTATTGAAGCCAAGAAAAAGACCTAACCAGAGTCACATGACTCAAGTTCCAATAGATGTTTCTAATTGAGTCGACTCTTGACCAATTGAGATACATCTATTAATCTCAGTTTATTCTACTAAAACTTGAGATTGCACTCTCAAGTTGAATGATAGTTATAGAAGTAAATTATGATCCAATAATAGTATCCTCTAATTATCATTCAACAAGTCAACCCCCATTTGACCATCAATACGTTGAAAATGGCAAAATGACCATTTTGCCCTTCGACGTGTATTATCCTCTAAATTCCATTTTCATACGGCAAATGTATTGTGATCAAATCACAATATAAAGTCCAACAATCTAATCATCGGACTACTGAGATCAGGTTCAATTTATCTAGGAAAATACTTTAGAGTGATGATCGTCTCATCTCAATGATTAATGGATTTCATTATCACAAGTATATGATCTCTAATTGTTTCAGCCCGAATTCAAAGCACCGAGGTCAATCTTCTATTTAAGACGTCACTTGTTAGTACCACAAAGAACTTGAACTAGCAATCAAAGGTACATTACTCTCTCAAGTTTTAGGTGACTTTTTAATGATTCGAGTATAGTCTCATTTCAAGCGGTCACAAATGAGACATCTGCACTGTCCCGTTCAATGCGCATCGAAACATAGTATTGTTCTTATTCTAAGATCTCGACAAATCTTAATAAGAAAAATGAAATCTTATCAACATAAAACATCGAATTTTATGTACTGATTATGAACGACATAATTTTGATCCCATCACGAATTGTGTCTTACTATACCTGAACCATTGAGTATACAATTTGTGATATCCTATATAATCATGGAACCTTAGATAATCGCTTCAAATTGTAACACGCAGATAAACAAACGTCAATTCATAATGTGATTTTACAGAATACTACTCGAAGAAATGGCATCAAACTAACAATTTTTTGTTTGTTTGTAGTGATTTGATGGGACAACCATTGTTTGCGATTTCACCGTCTATTCCAAGTGGTGATGCACCAATCTACGACCGTAGAGTACTAGCTCTGTACGGAGGTGTTCCAATGGCACCAAGGCTATGGGAGGTGGTACTAGTACTTTTTGTGGAAATTCTTCTTTTGAGCATGGTGTTGGAAGATGGTTTGATATTAAATGTTGTAACAAGAGTAGAGATAGGGATGGTAAATGAGTCCAACGATTCGGGCAGCCCATGGCTTGGCTCGAAAAGTGCTTGGGGCTCGAGCCAAACCTAAATTTTGAGACTTGGCTCGAGCCTAGGTTGGCCCGTGAGGCTCATAGAGTCACATGGGTCGACTCGTGAAAATAGCCGATGTCACAGGATCAACCTAGCTCGTTGCCAACCTTCAATATTTTTTTGTTTTATTAATATTTAATTTAAGATTTAAATCAATAAAGTATAACTTATATGTAAATATGCTTACAGAATTAATATTCAAATTATACTATAACAATTTATATTTATAATTTATTATCATATTCATTAGTATTCCCATTATATTTTATTGATATAAATTATAAATTTTATTATATAGGAGTTAATATAATATTATTTGTTATATTGAGGTGTTGAAACTTAAAAGATCTTTTCTATTCCAATATTTTTAATTTTACTAATGAATATTAAAATATTTATACACCTAAAAATTATACTCTAATTCATATATTCTCGTATGTATATGAATATTTTTTCATTGCATTTTAGTTGAGAAGAAGAATTTGTTCAAATCTTTATATCAATATTTCATGAATTTAAAAAATAATAATAATAAAATAATAAATATCGTGAATCGACTCTACTTGATGAAGCCCGAGCCAAGCCTCCAAATTTCGACCGGGCTTTGACTTAGCTTGGCTCAAGTTAAAAAGGTTCAAGATTTCTTTCCTCGACTGCACACAAACCACAAGTTTGCAATAATTGACTCGACCCGACTCGTTGACACTTGTAAATACATATATGCAAAATCCCCTTAATTTAATCTGAAGGCCATAGCAATTCAATCAATCCAAGACATTCGATGGAAAACAAGAGGGACCTCCTCAACAAAGAAAGGGCTCATTGTGCTAGCAACCACCCTCGTTGACCAAGACGAATCTTATCAACTCTGTTAAAAGATTTTAATTTAATAAATGTTCTATCAATGCAAAGTAGTGAGTTGCTCTCTTTATTATGTTTAATGTTGAGTTCTACAACTAGAACTGGACCGAACCGAGCCGATCCAAACTAGTTAAAACAGCTCCATTTGCAAGTCTTTCAAAAGAAATAATTTGTAAGAGTTATAACTTGTACTACACAGATTTCATTAGCACAAGTTTTTACATTAAACCACGAAACTGTGATTTGAAATCACAATTTTCTGAATTCTGTAATTGCTACTAAAAATAACCCCATAACATTATGAGGGATGAAGAAATATCTACAAAATCTCTTTGAGAAAGACACTAGCAGAATTGCTACTAGCCCGTTTACTCTCAATGGCTTCCTTTAATTTTCTTCCCAGTGCATACGCCAGCGGAGGAGGAACTGCATTTCCAATCTGTCGGTGCTTATTCAAAACATTACCATAAAATTGAAAGCTGTCTGGGAAACCCTGCATCAATAGATAAGTTTAATTGGTAACACGGATTTCAAGCAATTGAAAGAAGTACTACATCCAAGTTTCCAGTAGCTTGAAAAAACCAAACCCGATAATATATCCCACCTATGTAAATTTTGCATATTATTGAGCGAATCAGAAAAGTATACTTACTTGAGAGCGTGCACATTCCCGAACCGTGACAATCCTATCTTGCTCGGGATGGAAGCACATTCCCACTTTACCCATTGGTTGGGGGTCTGTTATGGAAGTTGGAAAATTTCCCTCCCAATCCAACCTTCCAAAAAGCCCCTTCCATTGATTGTGCCTCTTGGCTGTATTTGGTAAGCACCATGGTATAAGATCAACCATTTGGCCATTAGATAATTTGACCTGCAAATTGACACAAAACAAGTTTAACAGTATGCTAGCAAAATATAAATTGACAGTACCATAGAATCTGTCAAAAGTTTTCGGATAATGGCCTATTTAGTTAAATGTTTGATACCTTTTCATCAGGAAGGTCACGCCAATCAGCACCTGGGCGCTTGGGGATTCTTTGACACCGGATTAGATTTAGCTCATTCATTTCTTTTGATATGTGATCATTTATTATCTCCATG